AGGGTGCCCTTCTCTGCCCTCTCTGTCTTGACTGGAGTCCAGGCCAGAGTGCTGTGGGAGCCTGGGTGCTCGGCTGCCATGCCTGCCTCCCTCTGGACCTGACGGGCAAGAATTAAGGTTGCAGGTGTGGGTTTTCCACTGTGGACAAGACAAGTGATTCTGGAATGAGCTTCCTTCAGGACTTTCTGAAGTGCCAAGCTCCCCTGAACTCTCCCTGGGGCCTTTTTGGTTCTTACTTCTGGTTTTTCAGGCCCCAGAGGGCCCTGGCCTGGAGCCTGGACGCCACCTCTGTTCCCTGTTGTGTACAATACCTCTGCCTCTGGGCAGAGCACCCTCCTTCCCGCACTTGCCCCAGAGGCCCTCAGCCCTTCCAAGGGCTGGGAGGTGACAGTCACCCCCCACCACTCAGGCTGAGGGCCAGCAGGAGTGATAAAGGAGACAATGAATTACGGGTTTGGGTGGGGAGGTGACCCACAAGTGTCTCTGGGGCAGCTGGAGGAGGTCCTTGGGGAGCTCTCTTCCAGCCCTAGTGCAACCAACTCATAACTCCCTCCCCGTAACCCACGCCATGCCCGTGCTCAGGCCTTGCTCGGTCCCCTGTATAGCCCCTGGGGGCACAGCAGCTCCCTTTGTGGTGGATGCAGTGTTGGGGGTGCCAGGCCTGCCTTCAGGCTTGGCCACTCCTCATGGCACCTGGGCTGTGACTCCCACCTTTGAGGTCCAGGTGGCTCACTTTCATAAGGAAGTGGCTTTGTAGGTGGGAGAGTGCTGGGCCACAGTGGGGGATGTTCTCTGTTCTGGCTGACTGGGCACTGTGATGCCCCCACCTGGCTTCCAGCCTCCATCTCCCCGTCTGTAAGAGAGGGGAGTGACTGCTGGAGTCGGGACCAGACTGCAGGGCCTGGACGTACGGACGGATTTGGCTCCCCCGATGGGGCTCCTTGTGCAGATCTTTTCCCAGGGCCCCAGCATCTCCCCACACCCAGCTGCTGGAGGGAAGCCCTGCTGGGCAGCCTGGTGTACAAAGGTCAAGGTCAGGGCTGGCTGACTGGGAAATGACTCAGTCACGTGGCTTTTCCTAGAAAGTGCTAACAGAGAATGCCAGGAATGGGGATTCCTGTCCTGACTAGAAGGAGGTAGGCCCAGGCTTGTAGGAAAAAAAGTTAGCCAGCAAGTCCAGCCCTCAGCCTGAAGAGAGCAAGGAGTCACCCACCAATGAGGGAGGGGCCCTGATCCAAGGCTCACAGCCCCTCTGAGGGGGTGGCTGTTTATTGTTTTATTACCCTTACTCAGGAAGGCCTGGCCTGGCCCTTGGGAATCAGGATGGAGTGAGTCTGTGGAAGGAGGAGGGAAGCGCACCCACCCCCTGACCCTGTCACTCCTCACTCCCAGTGCTCTGAGCCCACCAGCCCCCTGCCAGGTGCTCCTGCAACTCTGTGCTATGGCTGCACCTCTCGAACCTGCCCTGGCCATGCCTTTTGTCCTGCTGCAGGGGCCCTCCCTCCCCACACCTCCCTGACTGCGCCCCTCAGAGTACATTGTCCCTGGCTGCCCCTAGCTGTCCCTGGTTGCTCTCCGGCACAGCCCTCAGGCCCTCCAGGGCAGGGCTAAGCTAAGATGCTGCCCCAGTGTCTGCTGAGAGAAGCCCCAGGGGCAACCAGGGTGGAGAGCGCCAGTCTAAAGAGGCCAGAGGCCTCCGACTAGGATGCCAGGGACCCTGAGGGGCAGGGAGCACAGGGATGGGCAGGGAGGCAACAGAGTGTGAGCTGAGCCCAGAGGGAGAGGTGGAGCCTGGGGTCTTTGAGGAGCTGGGTAGGAGGGAGGCAAGGCAGGTGATGGCTGTGTGCCCCAGTCCCTCTCTTAGAAGCTCAGTGAGGTGTGGGGGTGGGGGCACACACTGGGCGACCAAGGTCAGATTCAAGCCCCAGTGTGTGCCTGGGGACACTGCTGGGTGCAGGGATAATATGCAGGGGAATCTGACAATAATTGTGTGGTCATTGGTGAATGGAGGGTGGAGCTGAAGCACCGTGGCTGGGTGCTTGTCCCTGGGGCTGGCGCCAGCAGTCCGTGGAACCAGCAGGTACCGCTGGAGGCCTGGATCCAATCAAGGGGGAGACACCCGCTGGGCCCTGGGCCAGACTTAGCAGGCTCCAGTGCCTCAGTGGGCACTGGCCAAAGCACTGTAATAATAATAACAGACTTCATCGAGTCATTAAAGGGATTCCCTGAGTCCATCTGCAGTCCAGTGGAGCAGCAGCAACTTTGCCTGAATCATCTTTGCCTTCCTTAGTCTGACCTGAGGTTTCCAAGGGGAAATTGAGGCCCCTGCCCCCTCCCCACTCTCCATGACAACACTCTCTACCCTGCACTCTCCGCCACACTACCTCTCCCTCTCCCACGCTCCCACAGTGGGCCCAGGGGTCCCGTTCTGCTCTGCTGGCCCCTTTCCTCCAGCTCTCTCTCCTAGCCTCCCCCCACCCCACCTGCTTACCCTCGACGCTTTGGCTTCCACAGCCTGGCCCCCAGTGCCATCTGGTGGGGATGTCCTTCTCTGTACCTCTCTCTCTGCCTGATAGACTCTACTCCCTCCCTCCTCCAGCTCCTGGGCATCACCTCCTCTGGGAAGCACCTCTGAGGACCCACGGCCGTGCAGCCACCCCTTGCCCACAGCAGCCGCCCCCGACACACACAGCGCATGCCCTGTGCGGGGCTTCGGGCCTGTCCCCAGCCTGGGCAAGCCATGGAGGGTCCTCAGGGAGTTTGTTAACTGAGTCACGTGTGGCTTCGAGGACAGGGTGGGAGGAGCAGATCCCCTCTCGGAGCAGGAGGGCTTGCATGGTGGCAGGTGACGGGAGGGGCAGTACCTCTCAGTTCTCCTCTCTGCAGGCACTTGCTTGCCTGGCAATTTCTCTTTGCTCTATGTTTCTGTATTTCTAAGTTTGTCAGTATAAGCTCATATATGCTCTCTCATATTTCACTCCCAGTGAAAAAAGTAGAATATTTTTACAACTGCAGTAAAAATAAAATTCCTAGTTGAGGCAATCTACTTTTCTGCTGAAGACTGGATTTGGAAGGAGGGAACTTTGGCCTTGGGACAGCCAGGCTTACCACGAGGCTTTGCTGCCCCCGTGTGGCAACTGGGCTTATGACCCTGGCGCTGAAACAAAACTGACACACCTGCAGGGGAGACGTGAGCAACCACTGGGTCTGGGAGTCAGTCATTAGCCCTCTTCATACAGGGGGCTGAGCTAGATGTAGAATTGCCCCAGCCTGACTGGGGACTCAGCACTGCTCTGTTCTGGGCCCTGGCCCAGGGCTGCGCTGGGGCTGGGGTGCGCTGGCCCCCTGAGCTTTGGGGTGAGCCTTAGGGGGCAGGCCCACGTCCATCCAGTCCAACCTGGAGTGGACTGGACTGCTGCTTAAGAAGAGCAAGGAGAGCCCCCAGGACATCTGGAAGGTCCATCTGCCTCACAAGCACATCGCCTCCAGCGTCACCCCACTGCCGCCTTGGGTCCTACCCATGCTGATGCCTCTCTCCCACACTCTCTGGTTGTCCCACACCAGGTGTGCATATGACCTGACCACTGACGCCCACCTGCTGCCGTCATCAATCACTAACTCAGGGCTTCGGCCTGAAAGGGGAAGGGAGAGAGGCTGAGGGAGGGTTGTGGGCTACCTACCAGGCTTCCCTCCGACCACAGGCCTTTCCTCGCTCCGTGAAGGCTCAGCCCATTTCACTCCCCACAACTCTTCCCTGGCTGTTGTCCCCGCTGTCCAGAGCTCTGTCCTTCCTGATTGCCACGCAACTGGCGCTTTCTTGTCATTGGGGTTTCAACCTGTATGTCACCTCCTCCAGAAGGCCTTCCCAGGCCACTCAGCCTAAAGCAGCCTCACTGGACCCCTTCCGTCTGTCTAATTCACTGTCGTATCCCCAGCATCCAGTACAGGACCTGACGTATAAGTGCTCAGCCAGTGTTTACTGAATGTGTGAACCTGAAATCATGAAAGGAATGTAGTGCCATCCAGCCTGGAGTAGTTTGGACAGCTCAGAGGTGGGCAGGGTTCGAGTTGGTCTCTGAGGTAGGAGCCTGCGAGCTGAGTCAGGGCAGGGAGTGCGTGGCGGAGATGACGTTGTGGGTAAAGGTTCAGAAGCAGGAAACAGGTGTGAGGTTCATGGAGGAAGCCACAGCGCCTGGAGCATAGAGGGAATCGGTAGCTGTGGGAGTGAGGAGAAAGGTACACGTGTGGAAGCAGGCCTTTTACACTTCCCTAGGGGTGAGGACCAGGTCCACAGGCTCTGAGGACTGGAAAATTAAGAACAAGACCAAACTGGTCAGGTCTGCATTTTCTAAACTGGCTTCCCAAGAAAACACAGATTGCTATGGTGTGGGCACTGGGCCCATGTAGTAGCAGTAAGGCCTGAGTGGGGAGGGCAGGGGGGTGGCTGAGCCATCAGGCGAGAGAGTTACTAAGACCCGAGTCAAACTGAGATATGAGCAAGAAAGCAGTTGTTCACAGTGTGGTTTATTTTCACAGATGAATAGAAACTGGTTTCGAGCCTGAGGCACATACAGACGAACATGCCCCCCGGTCCCCATCTTGAGTCTTGTTCAGAAGGAGCAGGACAGGGCTCCTCTGCTAAAATAAATACACTTCACAAAGTAATAAATAAATACACTTCACAAAGCGATAAATAAATACACTTCACAAGGTGATAAATACACTTCACAAGGTGATAAATAAATACACTTCACACAGTAATAAATAAATACATAAATAAATAGCCTCAATAAAATGAAAATGAGAACATAATCACAAAAGGTCAAATGGGGACTGCACTTTTCAGAAACTAGGTAATTAGCAATTCATGTGACTTCACAGGAGAAAATAAACCCCTCCTGGTCCTGGACTGTGTGAGAAGCCCCTGAGTCTCCAGGGCTCTTCTGCTCTCCGTGTCCCAAGGCCCTGTTGTTAAGAAGGCCCAGAGGAGGATCGAGTTGTCAGGCTGAAGTTCTGGCAGTGACAAACTTCTGAAGGGCATTCAGATATTCCCACAACTTCCTCCTGAAATCATCCCAGTCATTCTCATCGATAGAGATTGAGTCGGCCTGTGAAAAAACCAGGAAGTTGGCATCAGATGAGACTGGGCTGCAAGGCCGATGACAGGGGGAGGGGGGCGGCAGGTCAAGGCTGATGGCACCGCCTGCAGGGGCATCTTTGGGGCAGCTTACCGTGGAAGGGGCAGTAGGCAAAACCATCCGGAATTCCTGCGGAAAGAGATGAGAGGAGACAGTTAGAGATTCGCCCAGAACAGGAGCAGGCCCTGCTGTCATCTTCCCCAGAGAAAGGGTATGGCCAAGGCAGGGACCCCCAAACGCTTAACAGTTTCCCGTACCGGAAGAATTTTCATGATTTGCTCTGTCTTGCTTTTGAAGTTCTCGGGAGCATCCAGGAATTTCTCCAGGTTCGTTCTGAGAAAGGCTTTATTCTAAGGGGACAGAGAATCCATCTAAGAGGGGGAAGTTGGGGAGTGTCCTTCCCTACAGTTTTCCAAGACTTCTTTCAGGGACATCCTTGGCCAATCCCCTCCTCATCCCCTTCTTGCCCAGGCTATGCCCCCAGAGGACACAGTGCAGGGAGACCTAAGGTGCCCCTGGCTCCATGCCAGCTACAGAAAGGGCCCAGGTGGATCTTTGTGCATAAGGGGAGAAAACATTTTTCAAAAGAAACTCTACTAAAGGCAAAGGGCTGGTCAAGAGAAATTCTTGGGGCCAGCGAGGATAATGCCTTGACTGAATTAAGGGTTCCTAGGAATCAGGAAGAAAATCACACTAACTGTGAGTTCCTAAAAGAAAGAAGTACAAACAGCCAACAAACTCAGCAGAGACACGACCTCTTGTTTGACCCAGGAAATGCTATGCACACAAAGATGAGATCCTCCCTGAGGCCAGTAGGAACAGTGAAAGTAACAAAATGATCACACCCAGGACTGGTCAGGGTGAAAAACCTACTCAGATTTTCAAGGGATAGGAAGGAAGCAGGCATGTTCATGGGGAAAATTTCAGTCTGCAGTACCAGGAGCTGAAGCCCTTTGGTACTGTTCAGCTCCAGCTACCTTTTCACTTTGTAATTAAAACATTTTCATGGTATATCCATGGCTGGGGAATTGATTAAACACCCGTTAAGTGCTAGACACTGTTCTTGGAACTTCATGCACATCGTGCCATTTAATTCTCACCGCGACCCCTGAGATAGGTGCTATTCGCCCTATTTACAGGTTGGGCAAAGTGTTGCCAAGTCTGAGGTCACCCAGGCAGGAGGTGCATTGTGACCCTGTGCGGGGAGGTATGGCCAAGTGTGGGGCTGAGCTCTTACCTGCAGGATGACTTTGTCATTTATTCCCAAGCTGCCCTGTGGTGGCAGAGAGAGAGAGAGAAAGAGAGAGAGCCCGTGAGTCCTGTTGGCCCGAGCACCTGCCACACCTTCCCTTCCCTGTGCCATCCTTGTCCCAGATACTCACTTTTGGAAGCACAGGTGGCTTGCTGAGGAGGTCCCTCATTTCCTTGATCATGGTGATGTAGGTAGTCGGTAAGGGACTCCCCTGTGCCGGAGGGGTGCTGTGTGGGAGCAGGAGCAAGAGAAGGGCCAGGATGGGGAGGCTGCTCATCTTTGGGCTGGAAGCACACATTCTGTCCTGCGCTGGTCCTTCCGTGGTGTTCTGCAGTGTTCGCGACAGCCTTTTATGCACAGCGATAGTGTAAGAATGACCGTGGTGAAGGGGGCGGGCATTGGAAGAATTTTTATCTCACACGGAACCTCCATAGCAAACCACAGACTTATTCATCACTTTGTAGTACCCAACATTGGTGAAACTTGGGGAAAAATTACTGAATGTGTTTTTCCTCATCTTTCAAGAAGGCTGGAAGGTTGGTTGGCTACTGGGCAGACCGGGGACAGCTGAGAGGACTTTTCTAATGGGTGAGGGGCATATGACTCTGAGCCCTCTCAAACCTCCTGCTTAGTGAGACCTGGTCCTGCCACCTCCTGGACGGCCCTGGCCCTCTGTTGTCCACCCCACCAGACATGGCCTGTTCCTGCCTGGGTGCCCAGGTAAAGGCCCACTGGAATGGACGAGGTCATCCAGCAGCTGGTCACACTGGTAACCATCCACGTGTGAGCTCGTCCCCTCAGATACACACCTCTTGACACCCCTCCCAACACTGAATTACTGGGGCTAAAGCCCCCAGTGTTTTGCCTCATGGGCTTCAGGAAGCTTCTTGACATTTTCTGTTCCTGGTGGGTGGTGGATGGAACCCAGGTACCAGATGCCATTCTCTCCTTGGCCTGATAACAGCACAGCCCAACTTTGCCCTGTATGGAGGGATCTTAGCCCCTGGTGGAGGGCTGGCTGCAGGCACTGGGCAGTCCCTCAGGTGGCACACAGGAGCTGGGCTCAGGGTCCGAGGACAGGGATCCTTGAAGAAACTGTCCCAGGGGGAGGGAGCTGGCCTGGGGAGGTTTGGACGGTGGAATTGGCAAGGTCTGAGGATGAGTGGAGGGCAATGCCCTGGCTCCGGGCTGGTGTTGGGAACCAGTGGGCAGAAAAGAGAGTGGTGCCCCAGGGCTCTGGACGCCAGCCTGTGCTGGAACCTGGATTTGGCGGGTGCAGGCCTGGTGGGAAGGGTATGCAGAGCAGGGGAGAGGACAGAGACTGGACCTGGGGAGGCTACAAAGGACCAGAGAAGCTACAGCCAGAGAGGAAGCTGGAAAACCAGGTGGGTGGGGGCTCCTGACACTTGGGGCTGTGGGGCCCTGACCCAGGCCCAGGGCAGGGGTTTTGGTAAAGGGATGAGTGTGACAGGGGCGTGGGAAAGAGTTCTCTGAGGTGACTGGGCCTGGGTGGGGGAAGAAAGAGCAGCAGGATAGTAAAGCCAGGGTCGGAGTGTGTTGTAACGTGATCTGTGTGGGGAGATGAGGGCGGGTTAAACTGAGGCAGGGGAGTGTGGGTGATTTAGGCTTCTGAGTAGCAGCAGCTGATGTAGTTAAGACAAGGATCAGAATGTGGCCACAGAGGAGCCAAGTGACACTGTGCTGGTCTGTGAAAATAATGCCTACAGCCAAACACAGAGCTTCTGGCTCAGCTCAGCCCAGGGCCAGACCCCGGGTTCCAGGGTACCATCAGAATGCAGGTGGAGTGTCTCAAAGGCACGAGTGAAATGAGGCCACACGTGGGGAACTTTAGGACTGGGACCCCTCAAAGGCACAAGTCATTTAACAAACTTTTATTAAGCACTTGCTAGGTGCAGTCACTGCAGGTGAAACAGACATAGCTGTCTGCTTAAGAAACTCGCAGCCTTGTGGGGAGAGACACACGGAACTTGCTGCTCTTCGCTGGACCTCGGACCTGCAGGTTCAAGCATCCCCTGGGGGTTGGTTACAGAAACAGACCCTCAGGTCTCCCCCCAAGCATTCTGAATTAAAAACTGCATTTCCACAAGGTCCCCAGGTGATTCACGTGACATTGAAGAAATCCTGATTGAAAAGCTCAGCTTGGGTGGTGGGGGTCTAGGCCCTGGGGACCCAGGGCTTCTTGACTACTCTCAGTCATGGCTTGATCTTCTATATTAAAGTTTGGGAGAGATATGCACCCCAAAATGTGATTTCTTATAGAGAAAACCGCTTTTTTCATGTAAATGAGCTCTTTAATGGAATTCTAAAAGTGCAGGGAATTTTAAACAATGATAGCTGAATATTCCTCCAATGCATTCTTTGGAAGACCTGACTTCTTGTTGTATAGTAGCAAAAAAAAACCCACAACTCCTGTGTAGTGCTATTGTAGATCTTAACATTTGTAGGAAAAGGAAGTTTAGGCTTCAGGCTAGGAGTGAAGTTTTCAGCCAAGGAGAGGTTTAATCCCTTAAAAGTTTGGGTCCAAGAAGCCCATGGGGTGAGTCTAACTACCGTGGGGAGAAAGGCTGGGAAGAGCGGGGCCAGCAGAATGGCCAGTGATGGATAGCAGAGTTTTCTGGACCACAGATGGTAAGAAGGCTGAACTAAGTTGATTCTGGTGGGGATGGAAAGATCTGGATGAAGGTCAAGGCTCTAATAGCTAACTTCTACTGAGCAGCACTTAGTAAATGCCAGGCACCAAGTTCTTTCCATGGGTTAGCTTATTTAATTCTCAGAATGAGTCGATGAGGCAGGTACTCATTATCCCCCTTTTACAGATGAGAAAACTGAGGCTCAGGGAGGCTGAGTTCATGCAGCCAGGAAGTCATGCCACCAGGGCTGCCCGAAAGCTGCAGGTCTGTCTCAGCGCCCACCTCCACAGCACTGGGAAGTGACAGAATTGGGAGTAATGCAGGGTGGCAGGAGGGAGGCAGGAGGGTGAGGATCCGATGCAGTGGGCCCTGGGATTCTTGACAGGAAGGCCACCAGAGTCTCTGGAGGAGCAGTGTTAGTGTGCACTGCGGGCAGAAGCCCTGGTGGGGGGCTGAGCAGGGAGTGACAGTGGCTGAGAATGTAGAAGACGCTTTGAAGAAGTTTTATTCTGAAGGGAAAGAGAGAGGCAGGGGACACTAGAGGATTCAGGGGGCCAGAGAAAGATATTTCCAAACAGGGAGCTCGAGTATCTCTCTGAGGGAGATGAGCTGGCAGTGGGCGAGCCAGATGGAAGGTGGCCAGCATGGTGGGGGCCTGAGAGGCACATGCACAAGGAGGATGCCCACCGTCAGCCGTCATTTGTCCACCTCAGCAGAGACAGCTCTCTTTGCCAGAGAGCTCAGGCAAAGGCTGCCTGAGTGGGCTCAGTCCACCTGGAGGGTAAGGTGCAGTGGGTTGGGTCCACGGGTTTGGTGGCAGGAAGGGACAATGGCTTCTGTGTTCCCAATGAAACAGGCAAAGTCAGACCCTGAGGGTTTGGGGAGGTGGGGCTAAAGGCCTGTCACGTGGCCTGTCCCCACGTGTGGCGTGGTTGGGAGTCCATGAGCTGACTGCCTGAGGATGGCCTTGAAGGGCTGGCAACCTGGGGTCAGAGCACAGGAGGTCGGGAGAGTCCTGGGCTCTTCACTGGGCCAGAGTGTGGAATGCGAGGCCCCTGAGGTAGGGCGAGGGGGTCCCTGGGAGAAGCCATGATAGGCAGGGAAGGGAGCAAGGAGGGCCAGAGCAAGGGAGGCAGGAGGTGGTGGCGGCGGCCACCGTGGAGAGGCCCCCCCAAATGTGACCTGGCTCCTGTCCCCGTGTGAGGAAGGGTCCCATTCCACCGAGCAAACGTGACTCAGAGGGAGCCGCAGCTGCCTCTGTGAAGGAAAACCGGGTACCCTCCACAGCCCTCCTGCAACCTCTCAGGGGACCAGGGAAGCCTGAGCCTCCCCCTGGAGTCTCCTTGGAGGTTGGCCTTACTTTAAAGAAACAGCTTCTACCCTGGCTGGTGTGGCTTGGTGGACTGAGTGCCAGCCAACAGACTGAAAGGTTGCTGGTACAATTCCAGGTCTCTCACATGTTGATGTTTTTCTCCTTTCTCCCTCCTTTCCCTGTCTCTAAAAATGAGTAAAGTCATTTTTTAAATGAATAAATTAAAAAAGCTAGTTCAAGCCAAATCACAGGAACTCTCTCCCAACCCACCCCCACAGACCATAGACCTGCTCAGCCTTTGGCAGAGGCCTCCCACTCCATGTGTGAGTAATCTCACCTTGCAGCGGTTTATCAGTTTTGTCAGCCCGGCCCCCTGGCAGGCTGGCTGATTGCAATCAGGAAGGGAAATGAGCTGAGGGCCCGACTCCCTGGTGGCCAAGGGAGACCCTGCTAAGTCTGGGACAAAAGAGCTGGCCAGGACTCCTGCCTGGGGTTTTGCAGGAAAGAGACCCTGTGTGTTTCAAGGTGGGTCTCTAAACCCCATCCAAGGGATCCCTGTGGGACTGGCTCTGCTCCACCTGTGGCCTGGATTCACTCAGAGTGGGACACTGGGACCCAAGGTCCTGACCCTTGGGGGCCCTCCAATCAGAGGTCCGTGTCTGTGTTCCCTCCAGGGCCTAGCAGAACTTTCTGGGGAGCCAAGACCTCAGTCATCATGACAACCCCCTCTGCCATCCTTCCCGTGGCGCCATGTGTCAAATCCATTCTGCTCATGATCTCAGTCTCACCTCCACCAGTGGCCCTGGTCACACTGCCTGGTTTCATCAGTACAGAGGCAGCTCAGGGCTCCTCACTGGCCAGCAGTGTCACCAGGTTTCACGTGTGCGCCTAAGCAGAGCGCTCGGGAAAGACACACCTGGGCGGGCCCAGATGAGGAGGCCCCACCTCCTGCTCCGTTCAGCTGCATCCTCCCAGGGCCAGTACTGCCTCAGCCTGTGCGCTCTCAGCTCGCTGTCCACGCTGCAGGGATGTGGCCTTTGGGGGCCCCTCTGTGTAGAATGGAAGTCTTCTCCAAGTCCAGTGTCATAGAGGACAGGTGGGGAATTGCTGTTTAGAACAAGCCTGGGGGAGGAGGAGCCCAGAAATGGGGCAGCCTCACCCTGCCTGGACTACTGGCAGAGACTGGAAGAAGGGACAGCTGAGACCTGAAGGGTGGTG